TTAAAATTTAATATATATATATATATATATTAAGATTAATTATAAATTCAAATATTAATTTTAATTAATAATTAATATACTTTGTCCTTTAAAGTATATTTTCTTAAATTTAAATATTCAAGTCCTAATATTTTATATATTATTTTAACTAGTATAAGGAATATTAAAAATATTTATTTTATCTAACTAAAATTTATAATAGTTTGTTTTAGCTAGATTGAACTGGATTTTTTTCAACTCTAATGAAATCCGTTTGTTCGAGTTGGTGGGATGAAGTGAACCTATCAACGCCATGTAACATTCATTAAAGCATATTTCAGTGCGACGTAGTGGCACCAAATCCTTTCCCAGTTTAGCAAATGGGCTTCATTATTGAGAAAAAGACGACGAGGGACAGAAGGAACAAAAGTTTCGTTCCTTTGCTTTCCAGCCATTTTTTTTTCTGCTTTCATTATTACTCCTTCATATTAACAATAATATAGAATAAGAATAAAAATCAAAATGAAGAACTAGGATAAAATGAAATCTACCTTACCCAAAAATGAAATCTTTGTTTGGTACGAATGTAAAGAAAAAATGATGATTTTTTATAATTTTTTGGTAAACTATAGATAAAAATAAAATAAATTGATCCAGTTAAATTCAATTCATTCCAATTTCCGAGTCCGTCAAAATTTTAATACATTATTGTTTTATTCTTGAACTAGAAAGATTTGTACAACAATAGTATCTATGTCTGACCCTGTTTGGTATATTCTTTTGGCTGTGGTTCAATTAACTGGTTAAAAGAAAAAGTTAGCAAGTACCACAAAGTCTAAACTAAACTAGTTCCCACAATCTCTGAAGACTTAGCATTTCACAAGAGAAAGTGTGTGTTCCTGAAATGGTTTCAAAATTCTTTGGTGGAGTGGATGATGGAGGGACTGGGCGTGGAACTAGCCCTATCTGAACATCAACCACCTTTTCTTTTTGAAACTGAAATCAACTTTTTGATGTGATCCTCTTTCAACTTGTTATGTTCATTTTGGAGTTTCAATTCATTGGGTTTCTTGCTTGGGTCTTCTGTAAGTTTTATAGCTCATACCGGTCCAATCTTCTCCGTTGTGCAAATGGTATTGCCTATGCAAACTCAACTTTTTAGATTTTTGGTATTTGATTGTGTTGGATACAATATTGTTGTTTTTCATGGAACATGATTTAGTCAGTTAAAACTCCTTTCCTATTCTGAAGGAATGACTCATTGTTTTTCCATCAAATGAAAACAATAAAGTTGTGGTTTACTTGATTACCAGAAATTATAAATTGTTTGGGGGACCATGGATGATAATTACCATTCTTTTCTGTGGATAAGTTTGAAACCCTTTATTCTCTCTACGTCTCTTCCAAAGACCAAACAGTGCCAATAGGACTTGAATCTTTTGATTTGCAGAAAATCTATGTGTTGCGTGCAATGGCCACCTTACCAATTGAGTGTATGTCAGAAGCAATTTTTTAAATACAGGGATATTTTAGATTTCATTTCTTTCATGTGCAATAAAGGATATTGATTCTTCAAAAGCATCATTATTATTTTTATTATTTGCCTCGTGAATTAGGATGATATATTTCAAAATATTGTCATCTTAACTATTCTAATTGCTATCTCATTATGTGGTTTTTTCCATTTTCTTTTCATAGTGAAAGTGGTTGAAGAAAGTAGTCACTAGTCTACTTGTTACAGGTTGAAAAGAAATGATCATGTAACAGATGCTCTTTTGACTTCTGGCAATGGCAAGTGAGTTTCAAATTCGACATAGTTCTTTCAGAAGGATCATCTGATAACTGCCCCTTGTAAATCAAGGAGCAGAAAGTATGTGGTGATTGGTTTTTTCTGTTGAAAAGCATTCCAGACCAGTTGTGTTTAGCATCATCGTGGGGGCAAATCTCCTTTGGCAGTATAGCTTCCTATGTTCCAATCTTGGAAGAGGCAAATTTATTAATTATCTAGAATTTATTTATGTTCGAAGGTTCAACTGTGTTGGGCAACTCTCCTTTGGCAAAAGTTACTTGATTTCCTTTGGTTGGATTCCTGATAGTAGTAGTAGTAATATATGTGATAATTTCTTGTCATCTTCATTCTGAGGTTATTCCACTAGGAAATCGTCACTTTCACCTGGGCAAATCTTCTTTGGCATCTTTTGATTATCTTGGTGAGCTGCCTCCTACTTTCATGGTTTTTCTTCCAGAAAATAACAAAAAAGGTCTCTGATAGTTGTAGCTTATTGATACTAGTTTTCATTTTGGAAAGCTCTCTCAAGAGGTTCTTTCTGTGGAAATTCCAGTTCAAACTGGGCAAATCTCCTTTGGCATTTTGGAGTCTTTGATCGACTTCTGTTATCCTATCAGGCAAATCACCTTTGCCGTCAACTTTCCAGTTTCAGTGGTCAAGATCAAGACAATATTTTAACTTACTACCTGTTGACAAACATCAGTATCAATCAGACACGTTTTCCATTGTACACAAATATTCTTTGAAATCAATATCGACACATCTGTTGTGGATCAGAATATCCCCTGGATTTTAATGTTTCTATTTGCTTGAGAAGGTAAGGATCCTCTTAAATCCCTATTTATTGTTAATGTTCTTTCATGGATATTTTAAAATTTTGTCTAAAGTGATCAAAGCTCATTCAAAGAAAAAGTAAAATCGAGAGTTTAAAATCTACATCTTAATTGTTATGTAGTATGCTTTCTTCTCAACGTATTACTGATTGCTGATTAATTCTGATTCCATCTATTTCTCAGTCTGATGAGAATTCCAGTTGATTGACTAACAACTCACATCTATGATTTACGTTCAGATAGAGATCACATCAAAATTGATGCAAAAGCAAAGTGTGTGTTTGGTAACACATCTAATGTCACTAGACGTGGATTTGGAAGCAATTATTAGTTGTTTTCTATCAAAATTGATATGATTCTTGCTTGGATGTGGATCTTGGACACATCCAAACATGCCCTAATTATTGCTACCAGTGAACCACATTCAGCCATAATGATATGAATCCAAACACGCTCTCCATCCTTTCCTTCTTGTTTTGAAGTTAGTTATTTTCTTGTAAATATTTTATTGATGTTTCCATGAACACATTATGACAGGCATCTAATTAATGGATGCTCACATTACTGATTTGGATTGGGAGACTTCAAGTGACAGCAGCAGCAGTGAGGATCAAGAGGATATTGATTTTCCATTTGGTGGACAAGCTCGGAGCATACTATCAAGTTTAGAAGAAAGCATTGGGAGGATTGATGATTTTCTCTCATTTGAGAGGGCATTTGTCCATGGGGATGTGATCTGCGTCTCCTCAGACCCATCCGGGCAAATGGGGAGGGTCACAAGTGTTGAAGTGTTAGTAGACTTGGAAAATGTTCAAGGAAAGAAATTAAGAAATGTGAACTCCAAGAAACTTATGAAGATTCGCTCCATTTCAGAAGGTGATTACGTAATTAAGGGGCCATGGATTGGTCGGGTTCAGGGGGTAGTAGACAGAGTGACTATATTGTTTGATGATGGAACTAAATCTGAGGTCATTACCTTGGAAAAAGATAAGCTTTTACCACTGACTCATAATTTTCTTGAGGATTCACAGTATCCATTCTATCCAGGGCAGAGAGTGAAGGTTAAGACCTCCAATGCTTCCAAACCAGCTAGATGGCTGTGTGGCACCTCGAAAAACAATCATGATGAAGGAACTGTTTGTGCTTTGGAAGCTGGTTTGGTGTATGTTAATTGGCTGGCCTCTATTCGCTGGGGTTCCAATTTGAATGCAAATGTTCCTCCATGCTGGCAAGATTCCAGAAACTTGACCCTGTTGTCCTGTTTTTCACATACAAACTGGCAACTTGGTGACTGGTGCATGCTCCCAGTTGTGGACCAAAAGGAACACATGATTCAAGATGCATCTACCTGTGATCTTTATAATGAGCAAAGTATGGCTAGAGGGTACAAGAGAAGAAGCTTTAACTCTATCATAGGGGAATTATTTGTAATTGAGAAGATAAAGACCAAAGTTGATGTTGTTTGGCAAAATGGTGAACATGATTTGGGGTTAGATCCACACAACTTAATCCCAGTGAACGTCATAAACACTCATGAATTTTGGCCCCAGCAGTTTGTGCTGGAAAAAGGTGCTTCTGATGATCCTCTTAAACCTGGCAATCAAAGATGGGGAGTTGTTCTTTCCATGGATGCTAAAGAGCATACTGTAAAGGTACAGTGGAAAACTGTTCCCACATCTGAGACAGATAATTTGGCTGGAGAAACAGTGATGGAAACTGTGAGTGCCTACGAGCTTGTTGAGCACCCAGATTATTCCTGTTGTTTTGGTGATATTGTGTTCAAGGCGGCTCAAAAACAGCTTGATTACCAAGCTGATAAAAATAATGCAAAGTCCATGACTGATTTGAATGAGGAGGCTCCTCCGATAAACCGGGACCAAACATGTTATCAGAATAATTCTGTAGACAACAGTTACCTCTCCTGTATTGGCAATGTTACTGGTTTCAAAGATGGTGATGTTGAGGTGAAATGGGCTACTGGTTTAACAACCAAGGTATGACATAAATTTTTGTGTACTCAATATTGTAGTTAATTTTGCTAATGCCTATATATTGAGATGTAGAACTCATGAGGTCAGTTCTTCCCATATCTGAATTATCTAGATAAACAGTATAATAGATAAGGATAGATCCTAATAGTTTAGTGATCCCCTCCTCTCTTGCAATCCTGCTTGTACCTGAAACCGTCTTGTTGCGTGCCTGTGCTGTGAGGTATAAGATCTTTCTCAGCTAAAAGCAGAGTTTGTTTGTAGCAACAGCTGTTTTGCGTAGTTAAGGTTGGTCTAGGATTATCTTTTTCCATTCTTTTGGGATACAAAAGAAAATGCTTTCCTTTCATTGTCAAAATCTAGATGTAGTAATAATTGGCAAATATCATAGTTTAGTGATCCCCTCCTCTCCTGCAATCCTGCTTGTACCTGAAACCGTCTTGTTGCGTGCCTGTGCTGTGAGGTATAAGATCTTTCTCAGCTAAAAGCAGAGTTTGTTTGTAGCAACAGCTGTTTTGCGTAGTTAAGGTTGGTCTAGGATTATCTTTTTCCATTCTTTTGGGATACAAAAGAAAATGCTTTCCTTTCATTGTCAAAATCTAGATGTAGTAATAATTGGCAAATATCTACGAGTTATGATCACTAAACTTGGACCAGATCATACTTATTTGATAATCTACTGAACTTAGACTGCAACAATATTAGTTACTCGACAATTCTTTCTCGTGATAAATTGTAACTGCAATGATATTAGTCACTTAAGAACAATTCTTTCTTATGTTCAACTGCTGCAATATTAGTCACTTAAGAACAACTCTTATGTTCTATTGTAATTTATACACTACATTGTATTTGTAGCGCCTTCATCTACAGGAAGTCATTACAAATTTATTTGTGCCCTAACAGGTTGCACCTTACAAAATTTTTCGAATTGATAAACATGAAGTTTCAACTGTAACCCCTGTTCCTTATGAAACAAATGTCGAGGAGTTGACTCAAGAGATGGTTGAACATAGAAGTCTAACTTCTGAACAGAAGGGAAAGGTGAGGGCAATAACTTGTCTTAATGTCCTGCATCTATGTACATCCATATGTGTATAATGTATATACTTGTATAATAATCTAATATTTATGTGGATTATTTATGGGACATTGAGATACAGAGATCTCTTTTTGGAAATTATTGTGAAAACTGAAAAGTCGGGTAGTTAATAGCAAGAGATAACAAAATAAAACTTTTAAACTCTTCAAAATTATGGATCGATAGTCATTATAAAATAGTGTTTTTCAATGAAAATATAATTTTTGAGTTTACCATTGATTGTCTAATCATAAGCTGAATATCACTTTGATGATCAGGACTTGTTAGATTGTAATGGCAATAGAGATAATTGTGAAAAGCATCCAGGGGCGAGTAGTTCCTCTTCCCTTCCTCAAGCTGCCTTTGAACTTTTCTCCAGCATTAAGGCCAGCATATTCCAAACACTTGGTGTAACATCACTTTCCAGAAAATTCTCCTCAGTTCCTACGTTTGAAGAGGGAAACGAATCTAATTTTCTTGGTAAGAAAGATATGGACACCTGCGGCAATGACCCTGAATCACGTCCTGTGAGCACGGTACAGTCTTCTGAGGACATAACTCCATATTGTGAAGTTATCAAGACTCGTGAGAGGAATGATTTTCCAGTTTCTTTAGACAACAACAGTTCAGATCAGTTGAAACAGTTTGATGTGATTGATAATTGCTCAGACCACCACTTTTTTGACGAGGGGAAAGGGTTGTCATTGTCTCAGGTTAGGCATTGGCACATAATCACTTACAGTGACATTTTTGCATCATTGGAGCTAATTTTTCTCCTATTTTGGTTCCTTTGCAGGTTAAAAAGGATTGGGTGAAGAAGGTACAGCAAGAATGGAACATCCTGGAGAAAAATCTTCCTGGTGCACACATTGTCTTATTTATTTTGAGCCATATTTTTATATTGTTATACAATGGTTAAACTCAGGCTACAAAGTTATAATTGGATCACAGAAGTCATAGATCCCTGTCAATATATATGGATGGGATTGATAGTGCTTTTAATTCCTTTAGAGACAAGTTTCAATTTTAGGAAGACCAGGACCCTTAGATTGGGTAGATTACTGCAAAATGCGAATTAAATTGGTGGTTGCTGTAATGATGAACAAAAAATTGTCAAAATTCCATCTTTCAGAACTTGGAATCCATAGGTTTAATTGAAAGTATAAGCAACTATGTAAGCTTTGTTGGCCATTAAGATTTAACCTGCAACTGATCTGAAAATGAGTAGTAGTTACTTGACAAAAAGGGAAATCTGGTTAGTATACTGCAAATTTCCTCGCACTTTTCTTCAAAATTCACGTTCAATCTTTATTTGCACAAACAGAAACTATTTATGTCCGCGTTTTTGAAGAAAGAATGGATCTCATGCGAACAGCCATTGTTGGTGCATCTGGGACACCTTATCACGATGGACTTTTTTTCTTTGATATACGTTTCCCTCCTGAGTATCCCAGTGAACCCCCTGTAAGCTTTTGAATGTAGTTTTGCTGAGCCTTTTCAAAAAAAATTCACCTATGTGCATGGTAACTCTTATGAACTTTGTAATCTCATGCAGATGGTGCATTACAATTCTGGTGGACTACGATTAAATCCTAATTTGTATGAGTCAGGGAAAGTCTGTCTGAGTCTCCTAAACACTTGGAGCGGCACAGCCACCGAAGTGTGGAACCCTGGAGCTTCCACAATTCTTCAAGTCCTTCTTTCTCTGCAGGCCCTTGTCCTTAATGAGAAGCCTTATTTCAACGAGGCTGGATATGATCAACAAAAAGGCAGAGCTGAAGGGGAGAAAAACTCTGTGAGTTACAATGAGAATGCTTTCCTTGTCACCTGCAAATCCATTTTGTATCTGTTAAGAAAGCCTCCAAAGGTAAAATCTCTACTTTGGTTTGCCTTTAGGTGCCATCTGAATCTTGGAATATACTTATATAGATGGAAAAGTGGCTAAAAATGACTCTTATTGCAGCATTTTGAGGCATTGGTGGAAGAGCACTTTAGACAACGGTCCAAACATATACTTATGGCTTGTAAGGCATATCTTGAAGGAGCTCCTATTGGATGTGCTTTTGGTGGTGGAAAAACTGAGCATGAAAACCAAAAGGGAACTTCTGCTGGATTTAAAATCATGCTTGCTAAGCTCTTTCCCAAGCTTGTAGAGGCATTTTCTGACAAGGGAATTGATTGCAGTCAGTTTGCTGAGATGCAAAAGTAACTGTTCTACCTTGTAGAGGAAAATATTCCAACCTTATGTGTAATATTAATTTGTTTTTACTTATTTGTATAATATCAAATACCGATATCCTCTTGCAAACCACACCCTTTCCAAAATAAAAGAGGTGTTGAAGATGCAATGAAAATAAATACCTTGTGGCATGTGACTATGTGTATCAGTGTATGTGTCATATATGGCTTGAATATGTGAAAATGTGAAATAAGAGAAACAATGATTGGAGTAATTTGCTTGATGTGTCCTTTCGTCTTTTTTATAATGCTTATAAATGTGCTATGCCTTGCTATAGAAGGGGTTGGAGACTATTATTTCTGTGGCTTTCGGAGGAATGAAAAATGTTTCTTTCTAACATATAATGAAAGAAAGAAACATTTATATAAAACCTTGGTTTCGACAATGTATCAATATTTCTGTTGAAATTGAAAATGAAAGGGCTGAACGCAAATTAAGTTGCAGCCATTTACAAATAAACAAAACCTCCATTATTTCTAATCAAATTAATGTATCATCTTCTCAAAAAAAGAAAATACCTAGCGTATTTCATGTGTGTCCAAAGACGTTACAAAAGAAAATTTGGAAAATCGTTTGCATCGAATTTTTTTTAATAAGTAATGTTGTCCAACTCATATTAATAGATAATTTATACGAATAATATAATTATAAAAAATAATTGAAACAAAGAATAAAAAGATTAAGAAGCAAACAACTAATAATCTTTGCTTGAGCTATACTTTTTTTCCTAATTAAGGACTAATTTATGTGTTTTTTTATTGGTTGAATATTATTTTAAAATTATAAAAATATATTTTTTAAAACAAAAAATAGTAGAAAAGAAAAACATTTTCAATACTATTCAACAAGTGTCGATGACATTTCAAAACTATTGTCAGCAAAAATTCGTCTAAAAAATTACTACATAAATTCAAAACAAAAGTCCATCTAAAAGATTATTACATAAATTTGAAAGTTAAATTATACTTTTGGTTTTTTATCTTATTTGTTATATTTATTTTAATTTTTTATTTTTTAAAATGTTCATTTTAGTACTTTATTTATTAAATTTAAATAAATTTAATAAAATAGTTAAGTTTAGAAAAGGTTAAAACCCTATTTTGGTCCCTTATAATCTTTTTTTGTTTCAATTTAGTCCCTAATTAATTTTTGGTCTCAATTTGGTCCAAATTAATTAATTAGTTTCAATTTAGTCCTAAATTAATTAATTGGTTTCAATGTGGGACTTTCCATCCAAATTGCTTTAACTAATTGACTTGATGATTTTTTTGATTTATTTGACATCATAATTATTTACATACATATAATTTAAAATTTCCTCGAGCCGTACGAGGATAAAACTTCTTATACGTTTCTAGGGGGGGTGCATTATTCATCTATATCTATCCCAATGAGCCGTTTATCGAATCGTTGCAATCGATGTTCGATCCCGAAGAGAGGGGCGAGATCTTCGGAAAGTGGGTTATTATGATCCAATAAAGAATCAAACTTATTTAAATATTCCTGTTATTCTATATTTCCTTGAACAAGGCGCTCAACCTACAGGAACTGTTCAGGATATTTCAAAAAAGGCAGGTGTTTTTATGGAACTTAGCTCGAATCAACAAACGAAATTCAATTAATGAAATAAAAAAAAAAGAGGGGTAGAGGGGTGTGGATGACTTGTATATAGATTTTAAAAACTCTTTTTTTTTATCTTTTATCCCCCCGCTCTTTTGTTATATTCATACCTAATCCTTTATTTCTTGTTGTTTATATCGAATGTAAATCAAAACAAAATGAAAAAATGGATAGAGATAAAAGATAGAATATAGGAAAAAGAAAAAGAATAGTTACTAAGTGAAGTAAGTAATTGGACTTATAAATACATTACCCCCAATGAGGTGATTTTTAAAATTATAAAAAAGAATTTATTTAATATTTTGGATTTTATTATCATTTTAAATACCGACCCGCTCTTTATTATTATCAGTTACGAATCCTAGTTATTTGATTTATATACATTTTTTGATAGTAAAGAATGAGATATAATATTAAAAATGGAATATTTATTTGATTTTCTTTTTCATCCAATGACTATACATTTATTATATTTTTTTGTAAATAGAGGAAAAAACTCTATTTTTAACTAATATGCATAAAAAAGTTCATAGTTGGAATGATAGTGACAATGCTAGTTACAATTATTTGCATTATTTAGTAAGTGTAAGTAACATCCAGAATTTCCTATCCGATAAAACTTTTCTACTTAGGTATAATAAGAGGAAAAATTATTAAATATTTTTAAATATTGAAAATCAAACTTTGGCTTTTTTAAGTGAACAGGAATGTTTTTTTTCTAGCTAGTGTTAACTTTTGGCCACGTGGACGCCACGTAGATGCATACGTGGCATCCACGTGGACGAGAATTTTTTTGAAAACACCTGGACCCAAGTGCAAAATTAACATACTCAAAATGCACCAGAACAGCCCGTTCCAGTTTCAGAACGGGCCGTTCCGGATTTATTTTATTTTATTTATATATAAAATATTAATAATTTTATAAAATATATATTATTAATTATATTTTAATTATGTTATTATATCCAATAAAATAAATATATTAATATTTTTTATATTTTATTTTATTATGTTTATCTTATTAATTTTTATTATTTTATTCCTCTAATTTTAAATAAGTTGCAAAAAATTATAAAGTGATATTTAAATATTTCTTCAAACAGAAAGAGAAAAAGAAAA